AAAAATGCTTTCTTATATGGTGATATAGAAGAAGAGGTGTATATGGACATTCCTCTTGGCTTTGAGGACCATCAAACAAAGGGTAAAGTATGTAGACTTTGGAAGTCATTATACGGTTTCAAACAGTCTCCAAGGGCTTGATTTGAGAGATTAAACATGCTATACTCAAATATGGCTTCAAATAGAGTTAAGTTAATCACACTTTGTTTGTGAAACATTTCTCACATGGTAAGACTACAACTCTCATTGTTTATGTGGATGACATAATGCTTGCAGGAGATGATAGTGAGGAAATACCCCGGTCGAAAAAATATTTGGCAAGCAAGTTTGAAATGAAAGCCTTGGGAAATTTGAAGCATTTCCTAGGTATTGAGGTTGCCCTGTCCAAGGTTGAAATTTTCATCTGTCTGAGGAAATATGTTCCTGACCTGTTGAAAGAAACTATAATGTTTGGGAGTAAAGCTTGTGATACACCACTGAAGCCAAACCAGAAACTTAGTGATGATAATAGGGGAGTTATTATTGACAGGGGGAGTTATTAGAGACAAGTGGGTTTACTTATCCCATTCTTGTCCTGACATTACCGTTGCAGTTAGTGTGGTTAGCTAGTTCATGCATGCTCCTCATGAGACATACATGGTTGCAGTAATGCACATCCTTAGATACTTAAAATCATCTCCAAGATAGGGTCTATATTTTTCCAAACATGATCATCTTAGGATGAAAGTTTATACAGATGCTGATTGGACAGGATCAACAACTAATAGAAGGTCCACATCTGGTTATTGTACCTTTGTTGGAGGTAATTTGGTTACTTGGAGAAGCAAGAAATATAATGTAGTCATCCGGTCTAGTGCAAAGGATGAGGTTAGAGCCATGGCACAAGGTGTGTGTGAACACTTGTGGATCAAGTTGTTAAGTGATCTAGGAATTAGTCAGACTAATTCCATGCGACTGTACTGTGACAATAAGGTTGCTATTAACATTACTCACAATCCAATTCAACGTGACCGAACGAAACATGTGGAGATTGAACACCACTTCATTATGGAAAAACTTACTAGTGCCATTATATGTACTCCTTTTGTGAAGTTGGGTGAACAACTGGCAGATATTTTCACCAAGGGAATTGGGAGCAAACCATTTCATGATGTGCTTGGCAAGCTAGGCATGAGAGACATCTTCATGCCAGCTTGAGGGGAGTGTTAGATAATATATGATATTATGTATTTCTTATTCTATATTAGTTGTCCTTAGCTGTACTTTCCTTATTTGTGCTTTAAGGTTTCCATTGTGAGCTACATATTATCAATATAAAAGGGAATGATTGTCTCATCATTCCCTAAGTTTTGTTCTCTGTCAAAGAAACATGACCTTGTAAAGAGTGGAGGTGTACTTGAAGAAAAAGAATGTTTTGTAGATGAAGCAAGTTTGGCTCTCACATTGCTTCCCATGAAGGAAGTGGTTGCAATCCATTTTCTAGATTCCAAGGAACTTATGGTGGAGAGTCATGAAGTTGAAGCTTCATGGGTGTTGGATGATCTTTGCTTCCGAGAAATGCCTCTTGTGCTATCTTCAAAGCCATTTGTTCCACTTTGTGTTGATTTGGTGCCTGGCTTGGTTTCGTAGAGGAAGAATGAGTTTATTTTGGGACCATGTGAGAAGCATTATTTTGATGACATCTTGCTTTCAAAATGGCATGCTGCATGGGTGGCCTATTCACACCTTAACATGGCTTCAATTGATGTGCGTAAACAAGAATTTGTTTTGATGGAATGGTATTTGCTCGGATGATCTTGATTAAGGACTTGCAACTACTTGGTCTTGTTCGCCGTTGCATGTCCATTACGCTTCCATGTGTCATAGTTAGTGTTTTTAAAGGCTCAAGGCGCACGAAAGCGTTGAAGGTCTTTTGGGGCCTAGGCACAAGGCGAGACGCGGGCTTTATTGAAGTAAGGCGCACAGTCTTAGTAAAAAAACAGATAAATTAACATAGACTAATCCTTCATAGTACGAAGACAATTTTTTTAAAACAAAAAGTAATCAAGACAAATTATAGAATAATTCTCAGCCATCAAAGTGTATAATACATATCATTCCAATTTTCAAAGATAAAATAATCCACATTCAACAAAAAATAAATAAATAAATAAATAAACACTAAATATCCATAACATAAATATCTAACAAATAGTAATATAAGTCTTAATATTTCAAAACTTCAATATCATAAGAAAGGTTAGGTTAGGTCAGTCAATCGTCATCCTCAACATCAATGGCAAGCAAACCATCATCTTATTCTCCATCAATTGATTTATATCCCTTAGCATCTTCCTTCTCTGTGTCCTCTGAGCCCACCTCCTCCTCATCTATTAATTGAAGTGGAGTTAATATTGATGATTTAGATATCATCGGTTGTGCTTTTGAGCATGAACTTGTTGCTCTACTTGCATGGCTACTTTCTTCTACTCCAGAAGCTCTTGCAACAGTGGCCCACGCCAAGCCATCGTCATCATCATCATCATCAAACACTGGCTCATTATCTTCATCTGATTCTCCATCCATCCTCCCAAGCAACCACTCATTGCTTTTATCAATATTTTGCAAAGATATAGGATCAAGAGTGTTGCACATATCATATCTAGATCTCAATGTTCTATTATATTTGACAAACACCAAATCATTGAGATTTTATTCCAATCTATTTCTTTTCTTGCTATGAAGCTGAAAGTATTAGAAAGATATTAAATTCAATATAATGAGAATAAAAAATATTTACATTCACCAAAAATTGGTTAGAATGTTAAATATTTACATGTTTAATTACACTCCAATTTCGTTCACAACCCGATGAACTACATGTTAGGCTATGGACTTTTATGGCAAAAGTTTGCAAGTTTGGGGTTTTAGAACCATATGATACCCACCAATCAGCTGCAATAATCACTGGTTAGAAATAATTGTTACAAAGTATTGAGTTTGACTAAAACTTAAAATATTACTAAAAATAAACTCTTGAGTCTATAATATATTACCTGGTGCCCTTGTATTTCTTTGCCAAATCTCAACAGGCTTGCCAAAAAGGCTCTCAACCTTTCTGTAAATATTCATCTTATTAGTGGTCAAATCTTGAACAACGACATCTGGAAGCAACCTTTGCCTGCATTCATAAGACCCATTCATCACTTCATGACTTTTTTGCACCTCCAACGCTTTTGGATAAAAGAATTCTGGGTTAAGAAAGTGCACAACTGCATGTAAAGGCCGATGCAATTGGACGTCCCACCTTTTGTTGATGATTTCGAAGATTTTATTATATTTGTCTTCTTCATGATCAAACGAACTTGCAATGCATTCTTTTGCCCTATCCATTGCTTCATAAATGTATCCCATGGGAGGTTTCTTCTCAATATTAACCATTCTAAGCACTTTGACGAGAGGCCCCAAGAACTTAAGGGCAAGCACAACATTATTCCAAAATGAAGGCATCAACAAAGTTTGTGCCATTCTTTTACCCTGTGGCTCATTTGCCCATTTACTTGATATCCAGTCTTCGGAGGTGACCATCTTTCTCAAATTGTTTTTTTGTTGATGAGACAGTCAAAAAGGTGGTTGCAAATCTAGTTTTTGCAGGCTTGATCAATTTCTTGAGATTTGTATAGCACCTCATCATGTTTAGCAAAGTAGGGTGGTTGTAAATGTAGTCATGTACTGCAATACCCCTTTCAAATGTCTTTTTCAATCAGGGTATCTTGAAAATGCCTTCTAACATCAAGTCCAAGCAATGAGCAACACATGGTGTCTAATACAAGTGTTCATACTTGCCTTCCAAAAACCTCCTTATAATGTAACAAAGAATTATTATTTTCAAGTTTTTAAATTTTAACTACAAAACAAAACAAACTATAAGTAAACAATTGTGAAGCAAGGAAGGAGGAAAGATTCTTACCCGCCAACACATTAGCTGCAACACTATCAGTGATAACTTGCACCACATTCTCTTTTCCAACTTTCTCCTCAAACTTGTCTAGTAATTCAAATAGGTTTTGTCCATCCTTTGAATTGCTAGAAGCATCAACTGACTCAACAAACATGGTTCCTCTTGGACAATTCACTAAAAAGTTTATCAATGTCTGCCCTCGTTTATTAGTCTAGCCATCAACCATTACGGAACACCCGTATTTTGCAGAGTCCTTTTTATGATTCTTCATCAAATCTTCAGTATGTTTGACCTCTTTTTTGTGTTGGGTAACCCGCACTTCTTGGTAGGTTGGTTGCTTCATACAGGGACCATATGGCCCAATGGCTTCAATTATTAGTCCAAAACTCTCATAATTTATAGCATTAAAAGGGATACCAGCATCATACATCCACCTTGCAAATCTTTGTACTGCTTGAGCTCTCATTTCTTTTTTGTAAAGGTCATTGTCATCAATTTGTGTCTGCTTCCCTTTTTGCTTGGTCTCTTCGATTTGTCACCACTGATTCCGGATTGGGTGTGAAGTAAACATCGATAGGCCCTTTTCTCTTTGCCATTTTTGATTTGGATTTGGATGAACCTTGGTTGCCACTTGCCAACTTACAGCGTTGATTGACATTGAGCTCAATATCATCATCTTCATCTTCATCTTTCATGTCCATGTCATCGAAATCAGGAAACATATTCATTTCTTCTTTTTGCGTCTTATTTTTTGACATGAACTCTCTAATCTCTTCTTTTACATGAGTTGGACACCTTGTGCAAGCAGTGACATTTCTATAACCTCCCGCGAGGTGTTGTTTCGCCCGATAAACACCTCCATTTGATACTTTATCACAAAAATTACATTCAAACTTATTTAAGTTATTGGACTCTACCACATGGGCATATTTCCACGCTGGATCTTTTCTATTACTTTTTGCTGTTATTTTCTACACAACAAATTTAATAAATAGAAAATAATTTCGGTGTAATGTAATGTGTGATTAATTAATTATTTGTAATTTTTTTTTCCTAACAGAGACGGACTCAAAACAGAGACCAACAGCAATAGAAAAAAAAGAAGAAGAAGAAGAAAAAAAATCAGCGAGCAATGACGGTGGAGGAGGAGAAGAGAAAAGAAAAGAAAAATGTCCCCAGCAGCAGCAGCAACGATGAAGAAACAACACAAAAAAGAAACACCCATCAATAGCGCGCACACAAAAAAAAAAAACCAACAGCAGCAAGGAAAAAAAATGGAAAATAGTTTAAAAAATGGAAAATAATTTTTATTTTGGTTCTTCTCTCAAATGTGAGCATTACTTTCAGATGTCATTTTCTACACAATAGATTTAATAAATGGAAAATAATTTTAGTGTAATGTAATGTGTGATTAATTAATTATTTGTAATTTTTTTCTCCCTAAACAGAGTAAAGAGCAACAGCAGCAGGAAAAAAAAAGAAGGAAGAAAAAAAAAAGAGCAACGAAGAAGACGGGGATGTAGAAGGAAGAGAAGAAGAAGAAAAAGAAGAGAGAACAAAAAAAAAAAAAAGTTGCTTGCAACAATAGTGATGATGAAGCACCCAACAAAGAAGAGGACAAAAAAAAAAAAAAAAAACCGCCTACCAGCAGCAACGAAGAAGTAGCAAAAAAAAAAAATAAAAAAAAATAGAGGGACGAGATGACAACACCCAACAAAGAAGAAGAGAAGGAGGAGGAAAAGGAGAGGAAGGGGGAAAAAAAAAGACCCAGCCGCACAATAAATAAGCAGAAAAGAAGAAGAAGAAGAAGAAGACTCACCTGAAGCCGAAGTTGAAGTCCTCAATCAAAGACGAAGTCGCGATGAGCTGCAGATTACACAAAGAGAAGAGATGACACCTTTCTAAACCATATAGATCCCACCACCAAAATTATATATCTTCCAAATCATATTCCTCCTAGAAACGAAGATTGTCCATTTCTTCCACTAAATTCGCCAACATACTGAGATCCTGCTCCTCCACATTTGCATTGGTAGCATGGACATTGAAGAACTCGGGTATTGTAACATTCGGCTTAGGCCCATCTGTTGGCACAATGAACTAGCTCGGATCAAACTCCATCACATGCGTCTTCTCCTTTTCACTGAACAAACTCTCTATAAACCAATCGTCATCAAGTTCTTGAGGGAAAATTTATTTCTCTACTGACACCTCAATGCTGTGAGCATCAGAGACTAGTGAATTTCAACATTTTGGCATCTTTCCATTGGCCCATGATCACTTCGTTCCATACATCTAGTTTCAGAAACTTCTTCATCCAAACGCTCTTGATTTTGGCGGGTAATCTATGCCACTTCTGCCGAATTTAGTTTGAGATCACTGTCTTTCATCAAAACATCTTCCATCTTTGTTTCAGTGTCTCTTTATCAACTCGATTTCGATCTTGGCAAATACCGCGTCATTATTGTCTTCCATCTGACCAGCAATTGTGTTGATTTCTTCATATAGCTTCTTTTGTTGTTTGGCTCTTCGGCACAATGCTGCTAGAGCCACAACTCTTGGTACCAATGTTGCTACGGGGTTTGATCGGGCTGCACTTAAGACGCACAAGTTTGTGCTCTCACGAATGTACACTGTCGGTTTGGGCAAGTGATATGGGATGATGTATAGGCTAGGATCATTCGAGGGTGAGGGAATTTGGGCATGGTTTAGGAGTGGATTGATGGTGACATTTGGTTTTTGTGGGGGTGCAATGATTTTGTTGTCTATGAGGTCCTAGATTTTATGATGAAGGCGAAAACATTGGTCGGTTTCATGACCGTGTTGTTGATGGAAGGCATAATATTTGGTAAGGTCGTGTTTTGGTGGGAGTGCTTGTGGCTTAAGGAGCTTGAGATGTCCCTTGTCCCGAAAGATTTTCATGTCTTAGGTTCGACTCATATGCAAGGGATAGAAGACTCAATTCTGGGCTCAGGTTGGGTTGGTAGTTTGCTGGGCTGTATTGGCAAATGGACTGGCGGTACTGAGTTGAGTAGTTACTGAGTTGACTTTGGTAGTGTTGGTGTTAGTGGCAGCGAAGTTGGTATTTCAAATATAAGGCTTCTTGGCAATCTCGACTTCTTCAACTATCAGCCCTTGATTCAAAGCATCCTCAATATGTACCCCAATCTCATGCAGATCCTTGAAGTTGAACCAATGAAGGAAAATCATTCACTTCATAAGTCGATTTTGTAGATTTCTTACCTCCATTCAGTCTTGGTCCTTTTCAGAAGGTAGATTAGTCATTCTAGCTGCTTTACTCCTCTAACGAATGATAAAATCGTTGAATTTCTCATTGGGCTCCTGCCATGTTGCCTCTAATTCTCAAGTGGTAACCTCAATCTGTGTTATAAGAATATTGTGCGACAAAGGCTTTAGCCAGCTCTTCCCAATTTCTTTTCCCTTTATCTTCCAACTTCGCATACCAGATGACAGCAACTCCAAATAAGGTCCTTTCAAACAGAGAGTTATTGTGTTCGGGTCAATCCCATAGGCCTTAGGATGTTGCAAAATAATCGGATATGAACGTCATAATGGTCAATATGTGGCATTTTGAACCTCTCCGACAATCTCACAGCAGCCTCCGTGTACGCATCTTCAATATCTAGAATTGCATCAATGCCCTGGGTCTTCTTGAGGACTCTTTCGAACTTGGCAATTCTTTGAATTACTAGGTCATGTTCAATCAAATCTAGAAGGAAAAGTCCCCCAACAGCAGGTTGTGGAGTAGGAATCGGGGTATCTTGCAGATTCAAGCTTGGACCATAGAAGTCCTCAACATTTGCTACTGCAGCTAGTTATGGGTGAATCGGCAGAACAAGAAGAACTCCAGGAGCAGGAAGAACTGCCGCTACCCCAAGTAGGCATTACATGTCAGCTAGGGTCCTAGCCTAAGTAGTGATTGTTTGGTTGAGAGCATCAACGATATTCTGTAGAGTGGTTATCACTTCTGCAATGTCAGAAGGAAACTCTGCCATAACTAAAGGTGATACTAAACCCAAAGGGGAATGATCAAACTGTGCTGTTGATGATGGATTAACCCATCTTCTTCTAATTGGTGATGGCAAAGGTACTAGCACTGGCTATCCATGAGCAAGATCACTGACTTTCCATAAAAGGCCTGAATGAGTCCACTAAACCTGGGTAATGCTAGGTCTATCTGAAGCAATGGTGCCAAATCTCCTAGCAAAAGAAAATGAACAAAGATCCCCCAATCAGATAATGCCTTTGTAAAAGCTTATCAAAACTAGAACTCTGTACTCAAATAACATCTCCTCAAATTGATCTGACAGAACCTCTGTACTTGAAGAGAACCCCTGCATCTGTTCCAATATATAACACATAGCATATAACATATAATTTGCGAACACCCCTATGTGGGCTTGAGTTACCCTATCCTAGTATTGGAAGAGATCTAGAGCTTCTCTATTCATACAAAAAGGTATCACAACAATCTAGAGAATGTGAGCATCCTGTCCTAATTTTGGAAGGTTCTACAGCTCACTATATGCAAGGGTAGGATAAAGTCAAAAAAGGGTGCCCCGGCATGATCACCTAAATACCTCTCTACCCTTTTGCTGGGCTGTGAAAGGAGGATCAAACAATAGGCAATGATCAAGATCCAAGGGTTTGCATTCCCAGCCTGACAGAGCCTAGGTTCGGCGAGCCATCCTATACAGCAAGCTGTCCGAGAATGACGAGTGATGAATGTGAAGGGTTTAAGCGAATTGATGAAGATGCAAATGCAATAAACATGTCTAAATGTTAATAATTCCCATATCATAACTTTTGAGTCAAGTTCACTCAGCACTCCCCAATAGAGTCACCAAAAATTGTGATATCTCCCGAACGGGGGTCTGAATGTGCCCAACAATTTGAACCCTAAGTCTGGTTCCATGAGTGCAATGTGAAACGGAATGAGAGTCAAAATTTGGCAATTCTATAGGAAATCCATTATTCACAAGAAATGACGAAAATAGACTACATCACCAAACTTAGAGTCGCCACCTAACGTTTTGAACAAAACTAGGAAATCTGTGACTCGTACCCAAAGGTCATGATCTATCGTAACCAAAGTATCTCGACTTAGGAACTTAGGTATGAGGGGAAAATGTCATGAATTGAGCAGCCCCACTATAGACACCCCATTTTTTCAAACCATAAAGAGTTAGGCACTTGAAATGCTTCCCGATAATGAAAGGTTTTATAATTTCAACCTTGGAGATGCTTGAAGTTGTTAGAGGTGTTGTATTGCCATTTTCGTGCCAAAAACTATCTTTTGCCAAAATTATTGTTTGTTAGTTTGTATTGAGGGCCTATTTTCAACTAGAAAAAGTTGGAATTTGGAAATTTCTATTTCACACAAAATTGTAGCCCTTTATGCTAACTTTCCAAAGCGGCTTGATTTGCATCAATCTGATATTGGATGAGAAAGATATGCCCAAAATATATGAAAAGTTGTCAAGGATGTGCGCCCGCACATGCCTTGTGCGTGCGCACATCCTTGCAAAGGCAGCCACAGATGCATTTTCTTCTTGTGCGTGCGCATATTCGTAGTGCGTCCGTATATGGCTTTGTGCATGCACACATCTGACCAATACACATATTTTCAAGAAGCGCCGCCAGTTAGTGATGGGGGAACCCTAGGGCAGTCTTTCTTGACCCCCAAGCCTCTATTTGCCTATAAATATGCCCCCTTCTCCTCCCTTTGAGGTAGGCTGAACACTTTAGCCAAGTTTTGAGCAATTTTTGAGTGAAAACACTTGCCTTCCTTTCACCCTCAACCCTAATTCCTAAAAACCTAAACCTTACAATAGCTTTAACACATCAAAATGTATCTGGGGTTTAAAGAGCTTCAATTAAAGTCAGGCTAGAACCTGAGGGAAGCTTTCAAGCGAGCAAAACTTCTTTTTTCTCGCCTCTTCCTTTTTTTTTCTTTAGTTTTCTTGCAAACCAGTGAGTAAGTCTTCTATTTCTTTTAATTTCAGTAGCTTTTGAACTTATGTTTTCAATATATCATTATAGTTAGGGTGTTGTTATGGCATGATCATCATGTAAGATAGCTATTTTGTTAGTTTTTTGCTTTATTTTGCATGTTTTGTTTAGTTTAATAAAACATGTTTAGGGTTAGATTAATCATGTAATCATCTTGCATGTAACCTAGTTTATAATATTGTTGTATCATAGTTTGCATTATTTATGTGTTAGTTGATTTGTGTGCATTAAATCGTACTAGTAGCCATTAAACCGAGTTTAGGTTTGCATTTTGTGTGTCTAGTTGCATATTAGGATCATGTTTATTTTCTGTTCTTGCATGTAAGGCGCTTGAGTGGGCATTTGGATAAGTTTCCTCCATCCTCT